TGTGTGTGTGTATGTGAAGAATGTGTGCGTGTATACGCTCCTGTGTGTATGTGTGTGTGTGAGTGTGTGAGTGTGTGTGTGTGCGTGTATATATACATATATGTGAGTGTGTGTGCGTGCGTGCGCGCGCGCGTGTGTGTGTGTGTGTGTGCGTGTGTGTGCGTAGCGCGTGCGCGAACTTTCACTTGTGTGAGTCTATTTCTAAGTATGCCTGTACTCATTTAATTCATGCCAAAGCGAGCATCTGTGAGCTTTAAAGCGTATCTGCATAAGTGTGTACGTACTTGAAGGTGGCCGCACTGACGTGGATTCGACCGGGCACCCCGTGACTCTCCATGCGAGAGGCGGTGTTAACTGTGTCACCGAAGAGACAGTAGCGAGGCATTTTGAGACCCACAACGCCTGCCACAACAGGACCTGTGTGTATTCCGACGCGGATCTGTGGGTGGGAGAGTGGTTGTCCATTGATCGATTGATAGATTATTTGATTGACGAAAGCATAGATTGGCAGAGAATTTGACGAATGGATGGATGGATGGATGGATGCGGATCTGTGGATAAGTGGGAGAATGATTGACGCATTGATCGATTGATTGATTATTTGATTATAAAAGCATGGTTGGCAGAGAATTTGAAGAAATGGTGGATGGATGAATATGATGGATAGATGTATGGGTGTATGGGTGTATAGATGAATGGATGAATCGATGTCTAGATGGGTTTATGGATGAATGGATGTACGAAATGTATAGATGGATTAATTAACCGGAAAGAAGAATGCCTGGATGTATAAATGCATACATGGAATGATGAGTGAATGGATGGATAGAAGGATGGATGGATTAATGGATTGGAGGAAAGATGTTTGAATATATCGATGAATTGATAGCTAGATGGTTGGATTTATATTATGGATAGGTTGAGAAGTTGAAGAATGACTTTTAATAAAAAAAAGAAGGAGGCATGAGCAGGTGGAATGAGTGGGTCGTATGGAAATGTATAATTAATTAAGAGCACTGGAAAAGAGTATCAGGGCATTCTAGGTCCACGTCACCAGCGATGATTTGAACCAAATGACGTACTCAGGCACCGGTCTGTGAGTCTTGTTTTATGTTTTAATAAGAGTGTTACGGTACATTTAAACAAAGTAAGGTCATATAAGTGCAGAAGATTAGGGGTGTTATAAGAGAGTAACAAACACAAAAAGAACGAGGAGGGATAGAAGTTTGATAGAAAAATTGGAGCAAACTACACAAGAGCACACACGAACCACCCACTGAGTGGGTCTGGCAATAATTAGCTGATGAATTTATCGAAAAATTAGGTCGTTGATTGATAGATTGATAGCTCGTCGATCAACAGATTGATTGAGTGAAGTATCAATTTATTGATGGATCAGTTTCCTGATGAATTGATTCCCTGTTCTGAAGGGAAGGGTGAAGAGATGGAAGGAAAAATAAACATCTATGAAAAGGCCGAGAAGATGTGGGTGCTGGTGAGGAATAAAGCAATGTCAGAGGCAAATCAGAAGTCGAGTGACAAAAGTTTATTTCAATAGAAATATGGGATTAAATAAATAAAAGAATAAATCCCCCTCCCCCTACCCCGCCTCCCCAACCCCCGCTAAGTAGATCGGGATAAAATATGCTTTGCCATTAAACCAATGTTGAACAGGCAACACAGAGCAAACAAGTCGTCCCTGTGCATGTCAGAACTGTTTGTTTGTGTTTTAGAGCTCGTAATACGCCGCTTGTGCTGTATGCTTTCCGTGAAGCTGAGAATGTTTCTGGGTCTTGATCTGGGATCTGCTGGGGTAGCAATCGTGGAACGTGCATAGAGCTAGCTGTAGAGCATGGATACGCGCTACATAAATGCAGTTATTGTTATTATCATTATTATCATCAATGTTATCATTGTTATCATTTTTTAAAACATATTTTTGTATCCTTTGCCCATTTATTCGAGATTGACGCCATCTGATTAGTAGAAAAAAGTGCGTATGATAATGTCCAATAGTGTATTACATACGTGCGTACTTGTATGAAAAGTAACTGTTACAGATAGATATTCAAGGATTATAGATAGAAACAAGTCATTGATTTAGAAGTAATTGTGGTGATGAGTGATGATGTGGGATTGCGTTTAAGTAATGTTAGCGTTAGTCATATCTTCCTCTGCTCCAATGAGTCACGGGTGAATTTCCCTACTGAAACCATCTTTACGGTCACCGTGAAGTTCCGAAGTGGTGGGCACAGTCTCTGCTAAAGTTACACTGTTAGTATTGGCCTATTCTATCGGGCCAAGACAAGAGTCGAGAGGAGCTAAGTGGGAAGACTATAATTGCAGGTATGTTGGGGTATTCGTAAGCGGGTTGTAGGTTGCAAGTTGACAAACAGATTATGAACTTAAAAATGCAGCATTCTACTCCCTGATAATTTACTATTATTTACATTTATTATTACTATTATTATTATTATTATTATTATTATTATTACTATTACTATTATTATTATTATTATTATTATTATTATTATTATTATTATTATTATTATTATTATCGTTGCTATTATTATTATTGTTTTCATTATTATTATTATAAGTATTATTATTATTATTCTAGCATCTGCGTTTGTTGCCGATTTTTGTCCAAAAGTTGCCAAAATTGCCACAAAAATGGCAAAAGTTGCCAAAAAAGTTGCCATTAAGTTTCAAGCTCCCTGTGACAACGTACATGAATAATAATATAGCAATAATATGTCGATAGAGATAACTTCATCTAAAACACCAGAATTTCTTGTGCTTTGTTTTAAGCACCCAGAATCATTTGTAGCCACAAAGAGTGTTTAGTTTTAGTAGATGTTTTACGGCGCCCGCAACTGCATAAAGTCATATGAGCGCCAGAAAATTAGAGATGTTACAAGAGAGTAACAAACAAAAAAGAAGAACGGGAGATAAGGACGATAGATGTTTCATATAGGAAAGAAGAAGCAAACCACACCAGAGCACCCGCCAACCACCCACACACAGAGTGTAGATACGTGAAAAATAAAGGTTTCACAACAGAATGAAGTCAAGATTAGAACAGCAAATGAACAATCACAAAAATTATCAAATAAGGGCGTGTGTCAACCCATTCTTAGACTGGTCGTTTTAACCCTAAACTCGTGTAATTCAAGAAAAAGTACAGGATCTAGCATGTATATCATGGGATCACACACAAGGGCTTTGTGTAACATAACTATAACACATTTTTAAAAAGGTAGGAAGAACATTACGCTATATAAACACACACAAAAAATGAAAAAACAAAACATCAAAACAATAACGAGAAACAAAATTAACAAACCAACAAAATAAAACACAACAAAGAGGGAAACATGAAAGAGAAACAGCAATATATAAATAGTATGTAATGTAGCCTACTTATATTCTTCACATGAAAATTACAAGTCAACGTGGTGTTAACAAGTGAGAAAGAGACGAAGTGAAGCGAAAGTGAAAATAAACTTTCTTTCTAAAGTAAAGAGGTTCGGTTTCTTTTTTTTTTCCCCACACATATTGTTCCCAGATTTTGTTGCTGTTGTTATTTTAACATTATTTTTTCTCCCCGGCGGTGGTTTTTTCTGGGGAAAATGTAAAACTCACGGCCGCGATGCGCGGGTCGCGCAGCGACAAACGCAGATGCTACATTATTGCAACCATTCCTAAAGAAAAAGTAAAAGTAAAGTAAAAATAAGTATTCCTTAAGACATTTCTGACTGACCACTCCGACGACTTCTTTCCCAAGCATAACAAGTGGCTTGGCTGACCGACCTGTAGTGGTTTCCCTGTAGCTGGTGACGTCACACACTTGGCCTGTTCCACGATAGCCAGGGAGAAGTTGGCCACTCTCTGCGCGTGCAGTTCTGTCGCGTCCGGGACACCGCTCACCACCATGTACGCGTCCCCGATTGTCTCCACCTGAGGATAGATAGATAGATAGATAGATAGATAGATAGATAGATAGATAGATAGATAGATAGATAGATAGATGTAAGAGAGAGAGAGAAAGAGAGAGAGAGAGAGAGAGAGAGAGAGAGAGAGAGAGAGAGAGAGAGAGAGATGGAGTGATTATGATTACTGGAACAGTCGAAATTGTTTAAGACGGTCACTCATTGTCGAGGAGAACAGTGGTTATCATAGACAGGGGGTCGTCTTGTGCCCGCCTCACTTAGAACGTGACCTTTCACGTGTCACGTTTTACTACAAATGTGCAAATTTACAAGTCTCATTTTATCTGATCAAATAGAATATAGGTTCTGACACCCCGTCACGCCCAACCAGGCTGCGAAAATGAATTCCGCTGATGAAGATGTGTCGTCGGGGGCCTAGCGGTTAGGCTACCGGACTCGTAATCGTGAAGTTGCGGGTTCGGGGGTTCGAGCCGTGGGCCCGTCGATGTGTCCTTGTGAAAGGCATTTTTACACGAATCGTTCTCACTTCACCCAGGTGGGAAAGGGTAGGGGCAGAAGACAGCGAAAGATCTTATCAGTATGTTATTGTTTGAGCGTCTATACTCGTCAATGGCCGCTTGCACTGTATGCTTCCCTGCAAGTTGAGGTTGTTTCAGAATTCTTTCCGGTCAGCTGGGGTACGTGTATGGATTCTGAAGCGCATTGAGCTTGCTATTGAGCGGGGATTTGCGCTATACATACATATATATATATATATATTATTGTTGACAATTGTGCTGTTAAAACAAGTTTTAAAAAAGAAGAAAGCGGAGCCAGTGGATCCGCACCCATTTTCTTCTCAGACAATCAATAGGCGAATTTCACAGAACTTTCAGTTCTTTGATGGGATGCAAGGATGAAACTTTGTTCTTCAACTATTTGCGCATGTCCTATCAAACTTTTAATGAGTTGAAATCACTCGTTTTGCAACATTTACAACGTGTGGGTTGTAAATGGCGGGAGCCAATATCGGCTGAAGAAAAATTAATACTAACACTCAGGTGCGTAAAATTAAATCTGTAATCCAATTCATCATCACCACCAACGCCTCCACCACCACCACCACTACCTTCATCATCATCATCATCATCATCATCATCATCATCATCATCATCATCATCATCATCATCATCATCATCATCATCATCATCATCATCATCATCATCATCACCATCACATCATCATCATCATCATCATCATTGTTTGGAAAGCAGAGTGGGAGGGAGAGTCTTGTTCGATTTTCAGACTAAAATTTGTTTAATAGACGCAGCTCAACGTTTTGCTTTTAGGGATTCCTCAGTAGCAACTGAGAGTTACACTAAAAATGTCGTGCTGTATATTAGCTGGGAAATGGGCCTAACAAAGAGGGTCTAAAGATTACATGTGGTTACCTGGCTAGACGGAAGTGACTTAGTGTGAGTCAGACCAAGGGGCTAAATATAAATATATTGATGCTAGGCCAGCAAGAGCACCATCATCATCATCATCATCATCATCATCATCATCATCATCATCATCATCATCACTACCACCGTCACCACTACCACCACCACCACCATCACTGCTACCAACAACAACAATAATAACAACAACAACAACAACAACAACAACAACAACAACAACAATAACAATAACAACAAAAACAACAATAACAACAAAAACAACAACAACAGCAAAAACAACAGCCGTTTCATCACACAGCTTAACACAAATTAATTTCTTATTTTGGGACCGTTGTTTTAATAATGAAGTTGAACATAGTCATTATCGTAATGTAGGCAGAGTTGTACAAAAGTACACTGCCATTTCTGTATTTCTGTTAGATCTATTTTAGTTTGATTACTCGTAAATCTGGAAATAGTCGCAGTTAGTTGATGTCTGATATGAATTCGCGAAAAATCTGACTGCGCCGGGTATTCAGAATAATAATAGGTGTGGGAACTGACGAATATGTTTCTGCATTTGGACGGCTTGAATAACATCCATCAGTAAGTTCATCAACTGATCGTCGTCAAATGAATCAACGGCATCGATGATCTAAAAAAAAGTGAAGTCTTGGGGAACCATTCGACTGTACTCAACGCAGGGGGTGACATTGACAAGACACGGCTGAAAAATAATCAGCATGCACATTCCTCCTCTCACGTGAACACAAGCTTTACAACTTGACAAGAGGGAGGCAACTGCTTTTATGTGAGGAATGCCGTTAAAATTATACTGAACACTTTTGTTTACACAGGGGACCCGTGTCTGTTGACCTGCGTGACGTATCGAATGACGCACTATGTGATTGTCCTACACATGTGTTCCTCTGATATTGAGTCATGATAATGTAAAAGAAAAATAACAAAGAGGGGCAATGGGAAGTGGTCGTTTGTACATTGCGTACATACACACATATACACTTACATCCACACAGGAACACAGTCATAATTAACTCATCTTGTGAACACCGTATTCCTCTTCTCTTTAACAGCTTAAATTCATTACACAAAGAGACATACATGCATAGCTACCTCAGAATTACAAAGTTATATATGCTCAGTATCTGGTTTTCAGAAATTTGGCGTTAGAATTTTTAGCTTCACATCGTGCCAAGCTTTTTCAAATGCAATTCTTTGAACATTTTGATAACGACTCCGAGTAATCTTACGATGTTGATAGAGCAGATAGAAAGTACGGTTTCTGACCTCATGGTCTTAGTACGGTAACTCAAAACGGCTAAAAATGTCAGATTAAAGTTTGTAATTCCAAGGTAGCGACATACAGTTATGTCTATAGAACCTCACTTTATAGACACCGTGCGTGTTTGTGAGGCGGTCAAAGCAGTTGTAGAGATCATTGAGCATGTTGACGACCTCCAGTGGCGAGCAGGCTGCAGCAATGTTCGTGAACGTCACTATGTCACTGAACAGAACTGTCACTCGATCATACTTCTCTGAGGAATTGCATGGAAAGAAATAATAATTAGTCCCTGTTGCCACGCACGCACACACACACACACACACACACACACACACACACACACACACACACACACACACACACTCACACACACACACACACTCACATACACTCACACACACACACTCTCACACACAAACACACACACATACACACTCTCACATACAAACACACACACACACACACATACACACACACACACATGCACATACACATACATACATACCTGCATGCATACACAGACATACACATTCACAAACACACACGTGCACACACACACATGCACATACACACATATACATTGTAAAAGATATGGATCTGGGGCGGAAATGGAAGAGGAGGAGAGGGGTAGGGAGCGGGTACTATTTTATCTTAAAGCCCATGTCCAATACGGTCAGCCAAGTATATGTTTTGAAATGGATACTCTCCAAACAACCCGAGTTCCAGAGTATTCCGATGAGGGTTGGTTGGAACCTGAACCCTCTTTCAGATTGATATCAACTGAGCAAAGAGCGCAGCCGCTCTATGGGAAATGTTGCAATCGTCGAAATGGTTGGCTGATGAGAAAATTGCTTTTACACATATGCACTTAAAAATGCAACCGAAAAGACTCCTAGTTTTAGAAATAACTATTTCAACCAAGAATAGAAGGACAAGCCATTAAAATACTAAATGAATAACTTTGAAATATGATATAGATCTACGTAAATAAATAAATCAATAATTACATTACAATTGATGCTTTCCTAGAACTTACTTTTGTTCTCCATGAAAACAAGATTGTTTTAAATGCTTAAGCCATTCATCTCCATAACGGTGAATTGTGGAAAAGGGGCACTTGTGTGAAAGTTTATTTTAATTGTAAAGTAAAGCGATATTGACACACTAAAAGAGTTTTCATTCGGTGAAAGTCGTGCATTTCCTCAATGATTGTGGTCGTCCAAGAAAAATCAAATGAAATCAGCTAATTTTGGAAAATGAAGTAAAGTGGATGTTAGGACTTAATATGTGCTTAAAATATATGTTGATTTAAAACTTAATACATATCAGAGAAAATGGAAGATAATGTAACTGGTAGAGTCTCGAAATAATTTAGTTTGTAAATAATAATATTATTACATGACTCAGGATACCTTTTAGTGTACCTAGCTAAAGGTGAGGGCTTTTTGTCTGTGGGTTTTCGTCTTTTTTGCGTTGTTTCAAATTTATGCATAATAAGCGTTGTAACCTTTCTACATTGCAATTCTTTACTGATTAAGTTGTGTATAACCTTAGGGCACCCTTTAAAAAAACCGCTAAAACAATATTATTGCTTTCAGCTCGCTTCTGAATAGTGTTCTTGATGTCTTCCGAGAAAAAAATATCATGTGTTTGATGACACTCCTATTTTGGTTTGTCGATTTGCTGCTCGCTTCCAAATGCGTTCCCAGCTAGTCTAGGATTTTGATGACTCTATTTTTTCCAAGCTTGTTTTAAACTGGCATTTGGCAAATGCCCTACTGGGTATGAACTTTAAAGCCGATCGAAATGTTGTTAGGATTACGTAGGCCTACTGCGGAGAAATGATAACTGAAGAAAAACTAATGCTATGATATATGCTGTTTGTCAAATCTCTACCCTAGAATTACACATTTCTATCTCCCCAAGACCTAGTTTTGAGAAATTTGGCGTCAAATATTTTGAATTTCACAACATGTCAAACTTTATTTAGCAGAATTCTTTGAATATTTTGATAACGACTCTGAATAATCTTACGGTTCTGACAGGACAGATAGAACATTTGGTTTATGGCCTCGTTGTCTTCGTAACTTAAACCGGCCCAAAACGTTAGTTAGAGCTTTTGTAATTCTAAGTTAGCGAAATGTCAAAGATAGTTTTTTTGAACTTCTAGTCTTTCATAGAGACGAGACTGTTCCACAGAAACATCGAAAAATGTTTTTTAGTATACACTAAAATTATATATTATGCTGTAAAAATGAGAGAAATATTCTAGGATTTTGATATAAAAATCAAAGAGTGAAAAAGGCTACAAGTGCCACTTTTGGCTAATATTTAGAATACTCCTTTTGCCAGAGAGTGGTGTGGCTTTAACACCTCTTTTCACACCGCACCAAATGTTTCTTCAGCTATGTAACCTCTGGCTTAAGGGGGGGGGGGGGGTACACCTGGAGGCTATCTCGCTTATTACTTTACCGAATTTTACCAAGTTTTACACATATAACAAGCATAGTAAGGAGTCTTAAAATCCGCAATCAAATTTGAGAAAAAAGTTTCGTTTCCATGGATACGCCGCCATATTGGATTTTATTAACATGTCTTACGTAATAAATACCGCACTTATCGCTCATGGAAATTGATTGTTTTTTTTGCATGCGTGTTCACCAACATTAAATCTAAAACTTTTTTTTTCCTGAGGTAGCATTGAAGTTTGCGAAAAATCCATGAAAATCCACACTCCAGACACCACCAACAAAAATCTATTCCATATATAAAAAATTCAACAAAAAATATTTAGTATTACCTCTTCTCTTCATTCTGTGAAAATTTCATGAAGATTGGATGAAAAATGGTGGAGTTATTCAAAAAAGTATAGAGAAAAGTCGCGTTTTGAGAAAACGGCCGATAAAGAAAAATAAAATATTGACTTTATGAGGAAATGGCGGTTACAAACATGCCCGGTCTGGGACAAAATACGGTTTTTGGGGGTTCTTATGCGATGGAATAGTTGTAGGAGAGGCCGAGGAAGCTAAAACTGCCTACAACTCAAACTCCATGATTTTGAGCCGAATTTTGACTTTGGGGCTGTAGCCCCCCCCCTCCACCCCCCTCCCCCCCCCCCCTTAAAATTAATCTCTTTCTGGGCCAATTTAACAAGGTATTTCGAGAATCATGGGGTATTATTGATTCAGTAAAAACTGACATTTGCCCGTCCTCTTTGAGATACGAAAAAAACACAGTCTTGGCGCAATCTTGGTAGAAATTACTTTTTGTGATCTTCAAAATCCAGCAAGAAAAAGAGCGGCCCTTGAGTTGATTTGTTAATTTTGATACAGTGTTTTCGAATTGGATATTATAATACGTAGGACCTAGTTTTCCAAATGTTTATAAACGAGAATTTCATTACCTGCAGGCAAACAGCAGGCAGTCCAGCGGCAGGACGCACAAAAATGTGAGGCATCATAGGGAAATCAGGAGCTTGTCAAAATAGTTCAAAACAATGAAATCGAAGAAACTGTCTTTTTCCTGGATTTCGGGAAATTCTTTTCGAATGTACTCAACACTTTTCATGTCCATTTAAAAACATATTTCTGAGCAAATTTTTCTAAAAACGTTGATCAAAGGCACAAAAAATATAAATTTGCAGTTTTCAAGGATACTCAAGCCTTTAAAGTCACCAAACTTTGGCGCCCATTTTCACGCAAATTTCTCACACAAGGCCCATCTCATTCAATCGCAAATATCCCGACTTCTATTCAAGATAGTTTGGTGCTTTTTACATCAAAACCAAGGCAAAGGTACACGTTTATAAATAATACCAATGACTCCATGTGGCCCAAAATTGACAAGCTCCTGATTCTGGCGCATCGTAGAACAAATCAATCTGTACTTGTTTTTGGTGCCGTCAGCCGTCCAGGTGGTCTGTCAGGCCTGCTGCCCGCGACGATAAAAATTATTGCATTCATAAACTTATTGAAAATTTTTTATTGAAGAACACTAGAAAGAATAAAGTTTTACCAGATTGCATTATGTATTGTTTTCTTATCCTAAAGAGGATGGACAATAGATGTCAGTTTTAAGTGAACGCGTTCCTGTTCCTGTTACTAGGAAATCCTTTAAAAATGATCGCCTTGGGGAAAGACCACTATTTGACAAACATACGAAACAGAGCTATATTTTGTGATATTGATAAGTCAGCTTTGATCAAAATTGGAGAAAGACCCCTTTTATTCTCTGAGGCACACTTGGTCTTGCTCTTTATCAACCCATCAGTCTCTAACGCTTGCTCTGAATTTAAAACAACTATCGACAGCTTAACGAATTGGAAAAACTCAAACAAATAAACGAAACAAACCAACGCTATCGATTAAGGGACCTGCAAACATGTTAATCTATGGTCAGTTCAGCTGTCTAAATCTTGCTAATGGACTGTTATTCGCAAATAATGAGTTCCTTTCCCGGGTGAATTTAGAACGGAGAAAAGCTAATGAGCAAGCCTTGAAATTCGTTATTCAGCATGACTTTGTAGTTTGTGAAGTGACTCATGAAGCTAAGACTAATTAGGATCCCTGGAGAAACAAATAACAGCAGAGCAGCTTACTACTGAAGTTTCAGTTCCCCATGTTCTATTATGTATAATACTCTACTGCAACGTATAAGACTTATATAAGCAAAGGTGCTAGCAGTAAGACACACACCTATCACTATCATTAAGCAGGTTATAAGGGCAATACGGACAGGGCTAAAATCCTTAGTCAAAGTCCTATCACTCATAGAGCTGAACATGTAGTCTAAACTCTGTGATGAGCACGGCTGGATAATTCACATACTCTGAAATGAGAGGCAGTCACTGCCTTGTAAATACCTTTTGTCAAAGCAGGCCATTAAGAGCTGTTGCAGTCCGTAGACTCCGTGATTAGTACGGCTTGATAATTAACTCACACTTTTTGAAATTAAAAGCGGTCAGTGAATTGTAACATACGACAGCGGAAAGAGTTGAACTAGGGCAGGTAAAGCATGTGAACACCCTAGCAATAGAATTTCTTTTTTGTTCAAGATCAAACACGAGGCTTTAGATTACAAAGCAAAAATTACGTGTTTTAATCCCTTTCCCCGCTGATTGTAATTGATTGTATAATGGACAAAGTGCTGAAGCAGATAGAGGATGGAGAGCGCTTTCTATTATTTTGTTTTGTTATTTTGTAAGGTGGTTACGATACTGATCTCAGGTTCTGTAGTTGTTTTCTGTAACCGAGTTAGAATCCACGGTTTTACTTTTCCGTGTTTTCAAGTCCGTTAAATACGAGTATAGACGTACCACAGGTGAGAGGAGAGTGGACAGGGAGTGGCAAGTGGAGGGTCCTCTTTTTTTCTTTCTCTCTGTTGTCTCTTTCGGTCTGTCTCGTTGTGTCAACGCACTATAGTCTAAGTGTCGTCTTTCCGATAAGTTCATTTTTACGAAAACCTTACAATAAAAGTTGAGGTGTAGGTGCTACTTTTTGAACAAGCTAACTCTTCTACGTAGAAATGGGCCATAAAAACCAAAGCAGGCATAAAACCGAATACCCTTAGGGAGGAACAAATGGTTCCATACCAGCTAACAGACTGAGAGGTTCTATCAGGGGTGATTGTTGTCCGAACGCAGAGAGATCGAATGATCCCGAACTTTTAAATATGGAATGTTTTTATTTTAAGTAGAAAGAAAAGGCTTAAAATGACTGAATGGAAACGTCTGCCCGCCCTACTAATGGGTAAATATTCTGAATCCATTTTTAAAATGTAAGTGTTTGACGCTTCCATCGTCACAATTTTAGATGGTTTAGGAGGCGCGCTTCAGGGCCTACCCAACCAAGAGGGATATAGCATCCATGCAGAAAGGCCGAAGTACTCAATAACAACTTTGACCACGCGGGAATCCAACTCGTGAATTATGCTTACAACGGTGCTGCACCTGATCGCTAAAGCACATGCGCCAGTACTGAGATGTTCTATCAAGGAAAAGAACAATGTTGACCAAAGTTGGATTCAATCTGGAACTTTTGAGTGTTTGAAAGTAAATAAGCAGAAAAAAGGAAAGGTTAGAAAATTTTAGTGACTGAATGAAAATGTCTGTCCGCCTTACAAATGGCTATACATTCAAAGACCCTGAAACAATTAACTCTTCAAGGACGCAGAGGACACATAATACGTCTGGTCAGCAACATACCATTGGTAATGCTTCTTCTCCTTTTGAACCATCATACACACTTCAGAACATGAATTTATATATATTGTCCCATAGCATAAACGTTGTTGTCTGTATTTTCTAAAGTTTCAGACTCAAAAAAGTAGAATTGAAAAATATGAGTGAATCACGAAGTAATGCGTCTTTTTTAAGTACCCCAAGGAGTGTCCTCAAGGAGTATTGTCTAAAACTATTGAAGAGTAAAAGTAAAAGATAGTACACTCGGTGTTTCTAATAAGGGTTGGAAGCTCCAGGCAGATATGGAGATACCAGTGTTAAAGTACAAATTTCCAAACCTCCGCAGCATGATAACTACCTCTGACATGACATACCCTTTGCATTTTATAATAGTAATGATTGCATTAATGTAGTGCATATCCACGCTCTACAGCATGCTCTATGCGTTTCACAATTATCACTACTCCAGCAGACCCTTAAGCTCCTAGAAACATTCTCAGCTTCCCGGGAAGCGTACAGTGCAGCCTGGGGATTGCAAGCGCTCAAAAACAAACTTTCGCTGTTGATTGCCAGGTACCCATTTCCACTACGGAGAAGTGGGGAAAGTTCATGTCAAGTGCCTTTCACGACCGAGTTGGTTGCGAGTCCGAGAACCTGTCCACTGGGCGACAGAGACGTCATTGGGTTACACAATTTTTAAATAAAGAAAATATAAATTGTGTGAGAAGGGGAGATGAATTCGCTTACTTCATGATCACTGTCTTTCTCACCCTGCATTTGAGTATAGACAACAGACAAACACATTCCACCTTCGCTATCTTGGCTTAGTCTCTCCATATTATTGCCAATAGTTGCCACAAAAGTGGAAAAAGTTGCCGAAAAAGTTGCCATTAATTTTCAAGCTTTCAACTCTCAGTGACGACGTTATATATATATATATATATATATATATATATATATATATATATATATATATATATATATCAATATGTTGATATAAAGCCCCAGAATTTCTTGTGCTCTGTTTTAAGCATCCAGAATATCATTTGTAGTCACTCAGAGAGTAAAAACGTGAAAAATAAAGGTTTCACAACAGAATGAGATCAAAATTAGAACAGCACCGATAAATAACCACAAAAATTATTGGGGCGCCTTTCCACCTATACGAAGATTGGCTGTTTTAACCCTGAACGTGTGTAATTCAATAAAAAGAAGGCCTACAGGATATTACATGTACATGTAAATTATGGAATTACACACAATTGGGGCGTGCCAGTGTCAGTATTCAGTGTTGGTGGAGACACGCTCTAACATAACACATTTACATTTTTAGAAAGGTAGGACAACATCGAATTAAATGACATTACGCTGTAAAAACACAAAAAAGAAAAAACAAATCATTAGAACAATGTTTAGAAAAATTAACACACCAACAAATTAAAACACAAAAAGGGGGGAAAAATAAAAGACAGACAGCAATATAAATACATGTAGTATGTAATGTAATGTTCTTATATTCTCCGCATGAAAATAGACACACATGGACATCTTAAAACGTTGCAAAATACATACAATATGTTATGAAGTAGCTTAGTAGTTTTGTCCTTTTTTTAATGCAAAAATCGCGGACGCGATTCGCGGACCAAAAAAATGCCAAAAATTGAGCCACGATTCGCGGGTCGCGGCCGTGACAAACGCAGATGCTAGATTATTCCATGTCTTCAGACGTTTCTGTACATCATTCTGCATGTGGAAAAGCTCATGTCTTCCAGCATCGAAAGATTAGACGTGTTTACTTGTGTTTCTGTAACTTTTTGCCTTCCACCAACCGGCACTTTTTTGCAGACCAGACCCTAGCCTCTTCCGACACGCAGTATCAAGGCAGGTGATATTTTTTGCTCCATAACACAATTTCAGGAGTAACTTTAATGTGGTAGGCAGTTACAATTCTGTCCTCTAGAGGACACAAAACATATACCTAGGGTTTGTTTTCTTAATTGGAGAGAAGGTAAGTAAACTTCATTGTTGTAATAAGGCCAAACGAACTTTTGAAAGATAAAAGTGGTCACTAGTGAAATGGGCAGAGTAGATTTTTAATGTAGGTAAACTCCCCAATCGAAACAATTTATATTTTTTAGAAGGCGAGCTTCGAACTTGTCTGTTAGCACCAATCCAGGATGAAAGGGAGATGCCCCGGTGACAATTATTCTTCCTGTACAGAAATAAAACCCAAGTCTTCTGCTTGTGACAACACAGCATTCGCTGGCACAAGAGAAGCTCGACAAAAAGAAACTTCAATGTCATAATGCAGTTTCCTTTTACTTTTACTTGTCACATAGATCTACGTCAGTCCACTAATTTGCACCATATCGGCATAAGTAAGCCGATTTAAATTTTCAGATGCATGTGATGTAGGCCCTCTAAAACATGTAACGTAGACCTAAATATTCAAGAGACGTAGGTCCCATAAATAACCAAGTGACGTAGGTATAGGTTGATGCAGCAGATTATGGACAAACTAAAATCTGGCAGGCTTAAACAAAATGATCGACTTTTATTTAGATCTAGTTGCGTTTTTTGACACACCACAAGAAAAACCTCGAACACACGAGAGGGAACTAAAGAAAGAGAAATAGATAGATAGATAGATAGATAGATAGATAGATAGATAGATAGATAGATAGATAGATAGATAGATAGATAGATAGATAGATAAACAGAAGAAGAGAGAGATAATCAGAGAAAGGGAGACTGACAAACAGACAGACAAACAGACAGACTGAGAAGAGAGAGAGAGAGAGAGAGAGAGAGAGAGAGAGAGAGAGAGAGAGAGAGAGAGAGAGAGATTAAAAATGATTTATTGATTTGAAAGGCCTTTGGCCCATACATCCACATATTTTAACATATTATGGTTCGGCATTTACATACATTGGTACAGCACAACGAATGTTAAACATAAATTGGGCATGCACGCATACATACACGCATGCACGCACGCACGCACACACGCACGCACGCACGCACACACGCACGCACGCACGCACGCACGCACCTGGCGCACGCACATAAACACATACACACTCATACTCACACACATACGTACGTACATACGTACATATATTACATAACATACATACATACATACATACATACATACATACATACATACATACATACATACATACATACATACATACATACATACATACATACATACATACATACATACATACATACATACATACATACGTACATGCATGCATGCATACATACATACATACATACATACATACATACATACATACATACATACATACATACATACATACATACATACATACATACATACATACATACATACATACATACATACATACATACATACATACATACATACATACATACATACATACATAAGAGCAAACAGAAATAGAACTTCCACACAGTGCTATGAATGAGGCAGCGAGAGAAATCGGGACATGTTTCACTCTGAGAAGTGAAAGAGAGAGAGAGAGAGAGAGAGAGAGAGAGAGAGAGAGAGAGAGAGAGAGAGAGAGAGAGAGAGAGAGAGAGAGAGAGAGAGAGAGAGACCTAAAGAAACTAAGTAAAATACACAACCACATGTGGCGTTGCACTGACCGGCTTCCACCTTCTGTCCGTTCTTGAGCTGGTTAGCCACTTTCTCCGGCAACATCTGATACAAGAGGCGGTCAGTCTTCTGTTTCTCCAGCTCTAACATACGAGAGGTTCTTTTCAGCTCTGCTGTCGTTTCGTCCAGTTTGCGCCTAGGGACATCATCATCATCATCATCATCATCAATGTTGTTGTTGTAAACAGGATTTTTAAAAAGGCAAACTATCGATGGAGACTTGAGTAGTTGCATGTTTATGAAACTATAAAATATGTTTAACGTTTCGACCCAATGAGCTTCCTCAGGAACTTAATTTTTTTTAAACCCGACACCATCATCATCCTCATCTTGACTGATAATCTAATTTTTCAGCTGTTTTAATTTGTGTTTCAAAGGGCATCTAAATCAGTCTATGTTATTTCCTCTTTTTTGTAGCCTATCTGATTAGGGTAAATAATAAATTTTGATTTATCTTATACAGCCTTTAATCATCATAATCTATTGTTGCTGAGTGCTTTAATTTCATACCAATGAAGTCTTGTTATTTGCTGTCAACCAAGCCGAGGACAAATTAATTTTGCAGGAAATGTTTTAATGGAAGCTTTAGATATAATCCATTAGACTTAGAGCTATAAGGTCTTTTTTCTTCCAGATGATGTTGGATAAAATAAATAGTCTCGATTCCGTTCGGCTTGGCTGCGCTTTCTAGATGTACAAAAAAGTATTTGAGTTAAAGCAAACTTGCAACTTGACAGGCCAGGATTCACTAACATGGTGGTAGCACCCGTGTCTGTATTGTAGCGGGGTTGGCGCTTTGCTGTCGCACACAGGAGACCAGAGTTCGATTCCCAAGTACGGAGAATATTTGTATCAAGTATTTCGAACTTTCTGCTGGGATGCTTTATCCCTCTCGTTTCAGGTTGGCGGTGACAGGCAGGGTCTTCGCCTCCTAAATGACCGTTATAAATTGTGTCGATGGGGGCATAAAAATACGACAATTAAAAAAGCAAAAACCAAAACCGACCAAACAAGAAATCAATAAACTCGGTTGATTTGGGCATGCCTGCGCTTTCCGGACAGAACAAATTGAAACAATCTCAGTAAAGGGTACCTGCAGCTATACAGGACAGGATCCACTTACGTAATAGTAATAGTTAACATCGCATTGTAAAGAAGATCGATGCTATTTTCACTCAATGATTAAATACATTTTCTCATTCCTCAGAATTTAAAATATCACTAAAACCTTTATAACTTATTTCTGGCCTAAATTTTGGAGTGACATTAGCTGGAATAGAATTTTTGATTAAAGCAGCATGCTAATATATCATGAAGTCTTTTTGTGTGAAAACAATGACGAACTGTTCAGAACAATGTACAGGATTAAACATTATGTCAGCTGTATAATTTCTCCGTTTGACGATTACACAAGATCCCCTTTAAGCGATCACTACTCACGTGATGTCGATCTCGGCGTTTCTTTGTTGATAGAGCAGCACCATCTCCCTGGTGACGTCATACAGTGGGATGTCTGCCATGTACACATTCAAACGCTTCATGGCCTTCAATGACGTCAGGCGAGGAGAGCCAATGAAAATCATGAGATCAGATTCTGCAAGCCACATCATCTGACCTTGTTCGGGACATAAAGAAATGGGCCAAAAGGTGGTAACTGAGTTATTATGATAAAAAAAAGAATATATCATATAGCATTTTGTATGGCACGAATTCCTACTCATCAGCAATGTCTATGCGCTTACAATCTAGCTTCGATATCATTATGTATAGAGACCAACAGCGTTCTTATTCTGGAGAAAGGGTTGGATAGGCGGAGGGAAGGGGAAGTGTCTTCAAGCATGTGGTTTAAAAAAGGGTTGGGTTCATTTGGCTGCTTCTCCATTCGGGCTAAAAGCAGATTCTTCTGTTTTAACAAGGTCTATTTTTATTACAACTATAATTTTGGGGACAGTGGTTGTTGGAAGGCTGACTGATATTTTTGGTTGTTTGATACATTGCCTTAAAAAAATCGGCTGTGTTCATTTTGAAGGTAGAGTCCCTAGGAGACCGTGAGACTCCCAACATATATTAAAGATATAAGTGTTTTCACGCCCCCCTGCCAATCACAACAATTTAGATAATTTTGGAGGCGGGCCAACCCGGGCTTAAGGGAATTCAACATCCCAGTAGAAAGGCCGAGATACTCGATTAAAATTTCTGCCCACACGGGAATCAAATTCGTATCGTCTGTGTGCGACATCGAAGCGCCTATACCACAGACCACTGTACTCCCAACTTCGTGATGTAATAGTTCAAAAGTCGAGAACAACTCTAACCCACTTAGGTTGGACCATTGATCGCTCGCCCTGTTCGCAAGACTGAATCCAGTTGATTAGACGCAGCTACAATGAAAAGTCTCATAATTATCAGCTCATAAGACACACAACCTCAGATCAGCTGTGATCTAAGGTGCAAAGCTTCTTGAGAGCATCTCCATAGATCTTTGCTAACCCCTTATCTTATTATATCTTTCTAAAGAATATATCGTTAAACCTCAGTGAATCGGTGGTTAGAGGGTGCCGCTGGTAGGTCCTACTTCTTTACTTTCCCCTCTGTGGTTTCTGTCTGTCGGTCTGTCTTACCTTTTCCCAGCACACAAACAAGCAAACAAACTCAGTGACTGCAAATTGTAATCTTAGCTACTATTTCAAAGTGTTAGACTAATTGGTCCGTTTAAAAGGTTCCTTTTCGAATAATGACGTATCGGGAACGTTTTCATAGTTGTTGGGGGAAAGTCGAGGCAAGTCAGCCTGATTCAGTCTCAGTTTGCAAGGAATAAACATTAAAGTAAAACCACACTAATGCGCCCACCAACTTCCATTTCAGTTGTATACATTGTAACGAGATATAGCTTTTTTTCTGTGCACGGTACAGAAATACGTGTTGTAATTCAAGCTCACAAAGAAATATTCTGAAAAGAAATCCTAAAGATCATAGAAACAGAGGAATGCTAAAAGCAGCAAAGTGTAAAAATGTAGAAGTAGATGATATTCAAAATGGCAAAATTTGAACACAACTGAGGAAAGGAGCACTGGACAGATGTCTTTGGAAAAGAATTAAAATTGTTAAGGGCGTTCGCCTTTTGGGGAATTAAAACGTAAACATGAGAAAAGGGGATGGTGAGAGGGAGAAAGTGAGAGTGAGCAAAAGAGAGAACGAGACTGAGAGAGCGGAAGAGAGAATGAACCAGAGAGAGAGAGAGAGAGAGAGAGAAAGAGAGAGAGACAGAGACAGAGAGAAAGAAAGAGAGAGAGAGAGAGAGAGAGAGAGAGAGAGAGAGAGAGTGAGAGATCGAAAAAGGGAGAGTGGGAGAGAGGGAGGGGGGAGATAGACAGAGACAAAAATAGATAGACAGATAGATAGATAGATAGATAGATAGATAGATAGATAGATAGATAGATAGATAGATAGATAGATAGATAGAGGGAGAGAGACAGAGAGGGAGAGGACAAAAAGATTGAGAGAAGGACAGAGAGATAGAGAGAGACAGAGAGAGAGACAGAGAGTGAGACTTAGTTACCGTCCTCCTAGTCCTTTTCCTGACACGTACAATAATATGATAGAAAGAAAGATTGGAGACCCTAACTGACATTTTGATGTCTTTCCAATCCCAGAACAGGCACCTCTAGTAATAGACATTCTCAGTCGCAAGCTCTATTTTCCTTGAGGGATGAAGGAAGTAATTACTTCCGTGATCCAAGCCAAGGAAGCCACAATCTTGACTGACAACGTTTATTGCTCTGAAAATTTGGGATTAATTAGTTGAACTGCTACTTGGGGCTATTGGGGCAAAAATCCATTGTACTGAAGGGCATCTTTATTTAACATTCTTGATTTTGAGCTAGTTTTGTTTGGTTGATCTTTAATTTGCCATCTGCACCCAATATGACATAGTTTTGATTTTTGAAAAGTGAATTAAAACGTGAATTTCTTCCTGGATAACCTTCGAGTGCCAGTACTCTAAACACCTAGCTTTTGGTGCTACATAATGTCAAGTTGAATACACCATCAGTTTTTGAGGTATTGGCTAAATGGACGACTCACTATGTATTTTTCTAGACAAAAGATGTAGAGTACCAGCGATAAGAAAATGCATTGTAAATAAATAAGTATGGTGCGATCAAAAATTCATGGTGCGACTTATTGCCAAATATCTCCTCAATTATCGAACATAGGCTCTCCGATTCTTGCACAATGACTTGTATAAATTTGTCTTAACAGATCAACATTTTTGTAAACACCTGCTAGCTGTATTCTAGAAAATTCCTTAATAAATACTAATAAAAAATCCAAGTGCGTGTTTTCTAGAGCTTTTTAAATGTTTACAGCTGGGGCAATATTGCTTTTAATAGCAAGTCCGTCAGGTTTTTCTAATCGGGACATTACGCTTATTGAACGCATGTTTTGAGAAACATTAGAGCAAAACATGTGTTCACTATACAAAATAATTTCTTGTAACAAGTTTTGAAAGTTAAAATTGTCATTGATGAGCTGTGCCGTAGGCCATATGCGTAATCAAAATGAGTGTGAGAAGCGAGAAGTGACGTGAACAATACCATTTTACGTGAGACAGAGATTTCAAGTATATATATATATATATATATATATATATATATATATATATATATATATATATATATATATATAAGTGCACACACTCCTCCCTTATTACCTAACCCACACCTTTGAAACTTTGCAGGCGTCGACAATATCCATGTGGTTAGGACCTAACTTTTAAAAAATCCACGCAAACTGCTTTTCCCGATTTTTCCAAAAATCTTTGTTTCGTCCACACAGAGTTCTAGGCCTAGGCAAGGATCATACTTAACAAGATGGTCCACTCCTCTATTTGAGCCAATTAAAAAAGTGTCCTCAAAATTCGGTGGCGCCCTCTTCGCAAATGCACACCAGTTACCCTACTTGTGTGAACAAAAATCAAAGAGAATCTAAGAAGTTCGGAAGAACGCTTTTTTAAAATGGTTACGCTGACAAAAAAACCTCTGGAAGAGGCGACTGATTTTTTTCGTTTAATTTGACTTTTGAAGGAGAGGGGCGTGATCATTAAAAAATTTTAAAACCCTAAAACTCCGCAATGAACGAACCCGAACAGCTGATGAACAGCAGTCGATCTGCGCACGCAAGGAGGTGCTATTCCTATTCTTCTTCTGGTGAAACGAAAGAGAGCTTCAAAACAGACTGCAGCGCCATCTGAAGCAATGAGCGGACTTCCGGCGGACACTTTTTTGGCTGAGTGGACCATCTTGTATTTGTTATGTACGATCTTTGGCCTAGGCTAACTTACGGTCAACAATTTCGCTGTCTCATTTTTTTAAAACCGGAAGTCTTTTCTGGACACAATTTTTCATGACGTCAAACCTCCCTTTTGGGTTGGAAAACCAATTGTGCACATCATTCATCGAATGCAGTTGCAGATCAAGACTTTATCTTAGCTTAATCTAGATTCTATAACTAGAAATGAGTGGTTGTGTTGGTGCAGGTCATTTTATTTCTCTTTCTACTCGATTGGCATCACTACGCAGGTGAGAAACATAATATTAGCGTGCGCCGGTAAATTGAACGGAATTTAATTAAATAGGACGAACATGATAGTGAACAGACATCAGCTGATTGGTCTATCTTGGGGCATTGTGTGTGAACGGTAGATTTGAAAAGTAGATCTGAAAATTGAACAGGTCCTGAAGGCTGTAAAGTGTAGGCCTAAGTAGGCCTTGAGATAATCTAAGACTTAGATTCTGTGGATAAAAGGCTAGATCTAGATCTAAGTTTGTGTAGAGTAGGCCTTGGCGTTGGCTTTAGTCTATTTTGCAACCATTTCTCTAGGCTCTCTGCCATGCCTATCGTTTGTACCTATCCGTTCGTGGAAGGAGTAATTAAGCTTGTTTTATATAAATTTATCAAGAAAAGTTTTTTAGTCTAGCCCTAATTGTTCTGGGAAAATATAATTTAGTTAAGACAAATTGATACAAACTTCTGTGCAAAGTATGGATGACATTGATTTACCCGTTAAAGAGGATAAGTTGCGCCACGAATTTGTGACCGCACTGTAATTGATTTTGTGCAACCAGAAACTGACTTATTTTCACCCCTTAAGTTCAGTTAAGCCAATGCTTGACAAAACGCCTTGCTAACGCCTCGCCAACAACCGTTGTTTCTGTATTTCCCTAATTGAGACGCTGTAATGAGATCAGCGCCCAAACGTGGGCAGTCATTGTTTAGGACGCAATTTCCAAGCTTTTGACCTCTCCTGCAATGTAATTACGAGTTTCCAGAGAAGTTAGAGTAATCCGACTAACCTTTGAAAGGCATCAAATTCACCAAGAGGGACTTAGTCTTACCACACTTTTAAAAATGTTTCTGTCTGCTGACTTTTCTATATCTGATGAACGTATACGTATTTTACCACTGCACCGGTGTCTGTGGTGTAACAGATAGGTGCTTCGTCGTCGCCCGCAGAGGACATGCGTTCGATTCCCGTGTCTACAAGTGTGTGAAGTAAAGATGTGTTGGATTTAACCTATTTCTTATGCTACATCAGAGCTGAACATAGAGTCTTTC